CATCGGTATCAATCTTTGGCGTTAGTTGCTCAGGGCACCATAAATTGCCATAACCGATCTCGATTATCAGCTGTCTGGACCATTTTGTGACATGCCAATAGACGACTGGCATGATCTAATACTTCATAAATATCTGCAATAATTGCTACTAATAATCTTTTTCCAGTAGTTGTATTGTTGCGAAAGGATAGTGACTGGGACGAGGATAAATTATCATTAAAAGGAGCGAACTGGAACGATGACAAGGATGTTGGTTGTAGTTCCATCTTAAACCCTAATTCTTTCATTGTACCATGTAATTTAGGCAATAAGAGCCTACGACCTTTATGCATTGGCCCGATAACACCATTTTGCAGTTGTTGATCATCATTAGTCTCTGTGTCTGCTGAGAGTGATAGTAGTGTATCACTATTAATCAGCTTGTTTAATACTTCACAATCATTCATTTTTGTTTTTCGAAATCGTTCACGTTGCTGTTTAACTGTATATTCCAACCATGTTCCCTTTTCTGCTGGCCATTGTAATTCCTCGTATTTAACTATCATCATCGTACTTCGCTTAATGTTTAACTGTATGGTTGGCACATATTCATCATAGTTTATTTGGTAGTGCTGTGGATGAAATGAGTGTGTATTGATTGGCACGACTGCTGCTGGTTTACTTTCGCATGGTTGTGTTTCCACTAATGAATGTTTTTCTTGTATTTGGTCACAAAATTTCTCCCATGAATCGATTTGATCTATGTGCTTCACATACCATTCTAGTGCTTCTTCACGTAAAAATGACGGAATCCATTCTAACTTTTCGTGGTCTGGACACTTGGCCAACATGAATTCAGTAGTAACTGTCTTCACCCAATTGGTGATATCTTCATCGGTTCTACCATAGAATCTTGGTGTTCGTTCTTCCAACGTTTTTCGCAGTAAATATTGTACAATTTGGTCATTGTTTGTTGTCTGATCAGTTATTCTATCACTCATGTCTCGTTCTAATAAATCTGTTGT